GGGAATGGGAGACTGCTTTCTGCCGTTTCATTATCTAACCTGTTTCAATACTTCATGTAATTAAGCACTGAATGACACAATTGTAGATGCAATTGTGCTAAAACCGCACATGAGATTTGGTATCCGTTTCTAAGTATGTTTGCCTTGTTACCTCCTTTTTCATCTGCCACAACCTTCCTGTGTCAAAGATTCCACTTCAGGTAGTGACCAAATGATGCTGAAGCTGTTGACCTGCCCTGTAGCACCAGTTTGGACGATGTTTGTGGACCACCTTCCCACAGTGGAAAGAAGAAAAGACTGATGCCCTGGGGGAAAGCCTCCACAGGCTCATTTCTACTCACTGCACTACTGCTGCCTGCTCGGGTACAGAGTCCCCGTAGTGCAGTCAGAGGTTGATATTTGTTTTGTTTTTTTATTGTTTTGAACCCAGAGTGGACAATCGATGACGTCTTTCTATCTTGGAATTAAATTAGATTTCTTTTGGGGTTTTTTTTTTTTTTCTTTTTTTTACCACTCTCATTTTCCCTTTTAAATGAATTCCAATAGATTGTGTCACGATTTGATTTATGCAACTCTGCTGGAATGAGAAAAGACTGGGTTTGTAATTGTTTTCTGATGTTGTTAACTTAGGCTTATGTCCGGTAATTCGATAAGTCCCTCCTGTCTCTTTCCTCCGCTATCTGTTTCTCTGTCCTGTGAAGCTAAGACATCAACATTCCAACATTCCCAAACAACCAATGTTTTTGCACTCACTTTCATCGTTAGCATTGAATGTCCGTCTTTGGTCTTTTTCTTTTTTTTAAATTGGAATTGCTTTAAATTTTATTTTCTCATGTGTGTTTGATAGATGTATATAGAGAGGACTATTTGATTAATAATTTTGCTCGTCGGTTGTATCATGTATTCTATTCATGCTGTTTTGAGGAAAAATACCCCGCAGGCTCAGGTGAATCTTAACTCCATGCACTGGCGCGTTTGTGTTTTTGAGTGTACGTGACGGGTCTTCTCTCAGTGCCTGTGCAATGTCTGTTCTCCACAGCAAGACGACGTCCCACGCACCACTGCTGCACCCGCAAGGTCAGATTTAACTTTGATATCCCCCCCCCCCCCAGGAGGCAAACCGCGATCCCTCTGAATCGCAGCCCCCTCGTTAGCAGCGTAAAACAAAGCGCCCTCCTCCCCGCCGTCTCCAAAGGTCAGCGTCTCGTGGCTCCCACAAAAACAACAGATGGATTTATCTGCATTCATCTGTGAAAGGAGTTGAGTGGCACCAACTCCACCTCTTTCTCATGATCCTTCTCCCCATGTTGCCTCCTGAGGGTGGAGGGGGGGGGAGGGGGTGGGGCGTTGGTTATGGGCATTAGGTGGCATGCCAGAGCTGAACTTTGACTAGTCCTCCTAGCAACAGCCACACCAGCACTCTCACTCATCCAACCTGCCTGCCCGGGTTGTCATGGTAGCCAGGTGTCCCCCCCCCCCCCCCCCAACCCCTCCCTCCATCGCGCACTTAAACTGTACACTCACACCCTCTGAAGGCTCCACCCAAGCTGCTACACCATCCCCATCTGTTGCACTGCTATGCCTTACTTTGGCCCTCTCTCTGCCACTCCTCTCCTCCATCGGTTTATCCATTTCCCCCGCAGCCCAAACGGCCGGAGACCCCTTTTTCTGCTTCTTTGTTTTGTTTTTCTCTCAACGAATGTATAGTTCTATAAGGCTCGGGCCACACCTGTGATTTTTACTGTCCCCCAAAGCCACTCGAAGGACCCACCCACGGTGTTGATCTAAAGATTGTAGGTTGTAGAAGGTGACTGTCGAAGGGATGCGTTTTCCTCTTTTTAGTGGCTTAGTTGCTGGAGGTTTTTTTGGACCAAGATCAGATTGTGTGTCTTATATTTGTGAAGAAAAATTTGTGAGTCTTAGTCTTGACATGTTGTTTTTCTCTCGTCGTTTTAGAAATCCTTGTACATTGTGTCAAATTTGAAGGCCTCTTTGCCCCCCCTTGATATGAATATATTAATGCCTGTAATATAATCTTTGTACAAGAGAAGAAAAAAAGCTTGAAATTTCATCTCGACTTGTCAACATATCAAACTTTTTAAATACCTAAGTCCTGCTATCTTCATTAGAAATGTGAAAATGGAAACATTTCATTAAATCCTTTTGAAATTCTACACTTTTTATTCTTCAGTTTGTTAACTGCCGTGTAAGACAGTAGGAGGTGTGAGTGTGTGTGAGTGTGTGTGTGTGTGCTCACGATGGTGCTGTTTCCATGGGGTTTTCTGTGACCCTGGTCCGGCCGTGTTAGCGGCAGCAGGGGTAACCTGACCCTCCTCCCATCTGTCTCCCCTGCTGCTCAGCCCCACTTAGAGCCGAACGGCATAATGGAAGCCCACCAGGAGGTACAGGTGCAATGGCTGCGGCACCTACAGGTGCCCTGCCTCTCCCCGGCCGCACAAAGAAGCAAAAAAAGCACTTGACCATAATTGGAAGCCCTGAAACTGTGCGTGAGAGAAATAATCCTAATGTTACCTCATTTTCGCAGGGTTCAGCTCTGTTTGCCTCAGTCATTGACTTGAAATATGTTACAACAGAACAAGCTGACACTGTGATTACTAGCGTGCTGTATTATTTCACGTTATACCACTGGCCGTGGTCAATTTCACACTTCAGATGTCTTCTTTTCTCACGGTATTGTCACTGTTGCCTTCAGGCAGAGGGAGGCTCATTTGGAAAAAGTTTGTGTTATTCCGTTCTGCAGAGGGTGAAGAATATTAATAATGCCAAAGAGCTGTGGAGAACCTGGAAAAGATGGGTAAAAGCTAGTGTGAAGGTGAGTTCTGTGTGTGTGTGTGTGTGTGTGTGTGTGTGTTTTCTGTCCACTTACTGGGGATATCACTCTGATCTTGGTGTTCACTGTACCTGTGATTTAAGTCCAAAGTTGGAAGCTGCATGCTGAATTAGTCCTGCCTTAATGCTTTAGGGTTTGTGGTGGGCAGATATAGCGTCAGCTGGGCCCTGATGCCTCCTAAATCAGCCCAAACTAAAGAAAAAAAAATCGAGCTGCGAGACTTTTCCGAAGCAAACAGATGTTTTACTGCTCCAGAGGTGAGCTCTGATCTACCAGCCCTTTGTCCTCCTGTCATGTCCTGACATGGTATTAAGGGGGGGGGGGGTTTATGATAAGGCCGTAAGTGGTTCTCTATGGCAGCCACACGGCGTCTATTGAGCCTCTGGAGCAATGATTTACGAAGAACCGCTCCGATAAAGGGGCTGGGGGGGGGGGGGGGGAGATTTGGTCAGAGGGATTCTGACATTTGTCGTTCAGGGTGAGATCGATACATCGGAATAAGTTTGGTGGGTGCGAGTTTGACGAGTAAAAACTGACATTCTATTTTTCGAGTTCCAACCACCTGACAGGGCCTAAAAAGTTGGGTTGCTGCGTTTGCGTTTTCTTTAAATGTGTTAATAACTGTTCCAACGTCTGTTTCAACAATGTCTAAACCTCACACAGGTCACACACTGTGGATTGAATAATTTACAGGGACTTTTTCATGATATTTGGTTGGGATAGGGTCCAAATCCATTTCATAGTGAGCACCAAAAACACGCCGGCAAAGTCACATCTAAAAGTTCCAACTTATTTCTGCATGTTCACGTGTTTGTGTGAATGTTACTGTGCTGTAAAGTTAAAAGGAAATTGCTAATCAGACTTCCTCAAAGTGAAAAAGACCACAGAAGCGTTCGGATTAACAATAATGTTATTGTAACAATAGTCAAACCACTTTGGCCACTAAAGCCTAAATCAGAAAATGTGGTTTTAGAACTTTATTTGAGAAATAAGAAAAATATATCTGCTTTAAAAACATTCAGAGACCTCGTGTCTTTTTGAAAATATTTTTATTTCAATAGACAACAACGATATACACATACAATCAAAGCGCTATAAAAGCCAACATTTAAGAAAAATAACTCGTCCTTAAAAAAGATTGCATCTAAGATAAGAGCTTTACGTTTTTTCTTTTCCTTTTTTTTTAACCAAGAGCTGTGGAGATTGAAGATTAAAACCCGACCCACGACACGTATCACAACTCATAGATTTGACAAAAAGAAACAAAACGAAACATAAGAAAAACACATTTTGGCTATACGACATGTAAACTGCCAGAACGATTCACAGGGAGAAAAAAAATCACAACAAACACAACAATAAGTTACATAAAATAATTAGAATAAATAAATAAATATGATGAAAAATATTGCAACAATCTTCAATAATAATAAAATATGTGCCAGCATTCAAAATTAAAACATGTTGACTTTTTTTTTTTTAAGGCAGTTATACAGCGGGATTTGGATGTGTACTGTAGGCTATTTCAGACTAGGCTTCTCTGTATACTAAAGGCATTTGTGGTTCTACTAAACAGGGAATTCTCCAGTCACACTCTTTTTCCACCAAGACAAAGTTGAGATGGTCTTTCGTTCACCAACCAGCGTAAAGTTGCAGTGATGGAGCAACCACACAGTCAGCGAATTCAACTGCCTCTGGTGGGGGAAAAGGATTTCTGGGAATTTTAAGACATTTCTTAGGTCTAGAAGCTATCATTGAGCATGTGCTGTCCTAGAAAAATACCCTTTAACAGTCAAACTAACGCTTTGTATTCTTTTTTTTTCTTGATAAACTACTTTGAGAAATTAAAATCTCAAAATAGGCCTATGAGTACTTCAAATATAGAGACAAGCATTCAACAATCACTGATTGGCATCGAAAATACACCACTTAAACATCAAAACAGCCCCCTGCCTATCATTGGCCTCGAGTTATGGCAGTGAGCGTCACGAACTTGTTTTTGTTTTGTTTTTCTTATTCCCCCTTTTTTTTTTTTAAACCCCAAAGCTTTTTTTTTTCGTTCTTATTTTTCTATCGTTTCCCTTTCTTTTTTTTTTGTTAACCCCCCCTTCCCAAACACCCAATCAAAGGCACAAGTTCGGCGTGGTCTTCAGCAGGCAGGGCGCACCGGCATCTGCAGCAGGATCACCTGCCTGTTCTCCGAGGGGTGGCACTTGTTTATGTGCCTGGTGAGCCCGGGGGAGCTGTAGAGGGTGGCGGGGCAGTATTTGCACGGGTAGATCTGGGAGGAGTGCATGAGGCGCAGGTGTCTCTCCTGGCCGGCCCTGCTGGTGAAACTCTCCCCGCACACCGGGCACAGCAGGCAGTCCGCCGGGCTCAGGTTCAGGGGGCTTTGGTTTGCAGCTTCCTCTGAGGACGAGGAGGAGGAGGAGGAGGAGGATGAAGATGATGATGATGCTGAGGAGGCGGAGGCAGATGCAGATGCTGCGGAGGCTGATGCTGAAGCCGGGGCCGGCTCCGCGGGGCGGTCGCCGGTCTGGAACCCGTGCTCCTCCAGGACTTTCTTCTGCAGGGCCTGGTGTCCCGTGATGTGTTTTCTTAGGTAGGCCTGCCGCTTGAACCTCTTCCCGCAGTACTGGCAGTCGTAGCAGCCGTCCTCGGAGCCGGACTCGGACAGCCCTGGGCTCGGGGTGTCCCTGTCGCTCAGGTCTTTGGCTTCGTCGGAGACGGACTTGACGCCGAGGGGGGGCATTTTGGCCGCGTCGGCTTTGGTGCCCGGCGCGGGGGGCGCGGCCGGGGCCGGGGCCGGGGCGGCCCCGGTTGTCCGGGGCTTGTGCCAGCGGCGGTGGGAGGCCAGGTTGGCCGGGCAGCTGAACATCTTGTCGCACTCGGGACACCGGTACTCGACCCTCACGATGCGGGAGCACTTGTGCTGCGCCAGGGAGAAGGGGTCCGCGTACGCCTCCTTGCACAGCTGGCACACGAACTCCCCCAGAGGCTTGTTCCCCCCGGAGGACTGCGCCCGGGGCTTGGCGTCCACCGGGCCCTCTTTGATTTTGAGCCCGAGCACCGGGGAAGTCGTCACCTCGTCTTCGAAGTTGAGTTTCCTAATGGCTTTGGGTTTCTTCGAGGCGGGTTTGGACTTGCGTTCGGCTCCGTCGGTCGCGGGTCTTTTGATGGCGACCCGGTGGCTGGGTCCCGGGAGGTTTCCGGTGCCGGTCCCGGTACCGGTGCTGGTTGTGGCGGTGGCTGTGGTGCCGCTGCGGCTGCTGTTGCTGGTTCCAATCTTCAGGTCCACCGGGGCGTACAGGAGGTGGTCCAGGCCGGACAGCGTGGCGGGGGTCGGGAATGACTCGGCAGAAATGGGCGATCCCAGATTGAAACTTCGCTCGAAATAGCCGCGGCCGTGCTCGCGGCTGACCGGCCGGGTGGGGCTGTAGATGGCCTGGCACGCCGCCTCCGGGTTGCCGAACTGCGCCGGCTTCTGCAGCCTCTGCACCGGGGCGTCCGCCGCGCTGAAGTCCGGGCTGGACGCCGAGGCGCGGTCCGGACTGGACGCCACGGACATCGGCGGGGAGGGGTCAGCTCGGCTCGGCCGGGTGCACGGGGCGGGGGGCTGCTCCTGGAGGTAATCTTCGTCCGGCCGAGTCCTGTAGGAAACATGTGCGGATTTCTTGTTTCTTTTTACCAGGAATCCTTTGGGCATCTTGGCGACCAGCAGCAGGAAGGCACTTCGAGGACGTGGGAGAAGTCTGGAGCATCCAGGTTTGGTAAAAAAAAAATATGGCAACACGAGAGGCTTTGCGGGACTTTATCTCCCCAGTATATCGATCCTTCTGTTGCTGAAATGTTTTCGTCTCCAAGGCATAGCTCCACTCTTTTTATGCCGGAATGATGCTATTGTTCTCGCCCCCCCTGTCGCAGCATCCTCAACCAATGGGATGAAACCTGGATCCCAGTGGATTTATTTTTTTTTGTGGGAGGGCTCAGCGGCCGGGTTTGGTGGATTTCGTTGGAGGATGTGCAGATAGCTCAGCAGATGCACTGGCGGTTTATTACATTAATGTGTGCGCTCGGCCCCTCCCCGACCGAGGCACACGCCGGGACCCTCCTCTTTTTATGGTCTGATGGGCCCCTACACAAATGCACACGTGCCACTGCTTTGTGGCTCTCCTCCGGGGGCCCCGGAGTTGCCAAAAGGAAATGTCCGTCACCACCGCCATCATCACAGCTCTGGAGTAAGGCACGATGAATCCAGTTCGGTAAAAAAAAAAACGGAAACCACAATCTCTTCTTTCACCTTTCTGCTGGGAAGTGATGTGGGGTTGAAATTCAGAGACTTCCCAGACTGCTTTCACCTCCTCCCAGAGCAAAGTTGTTTGTTTTAGTCCGGGATCCAGATTCTCTTACGCACTTTACGCAAATCCAACGAACCAAGCAACGCAGTTTTATAGACCTTTATTTTATTATGTCTTAAATAAACACTGCAGATGGAGTGTTTCTTTATTTCAGGGCACGTGTCTGTCTCGGTAGTTGAACTCGACATATAAATCAGACATCTCGTTGCATACATAAGTAATAAGATGGCCTTCTGGTCGTGGGGAACAATGGCCGCGTCTGCCTGTCCTTGGATATATTTTTTCCCCCGTTTGAAAAGCAAATTGACCTTTTAACTGTGAAACGGGACTCGCGGCCAATCTGGCCCACAGCGAGGCGCGTGCTGGGCGAAATCAGCGCTCCACACAAAGAGGGCCTCAGCCTGTGAGCCTGCCCTGGAGAATGTAGATATTGAAAACTAAAATATGGCCGATGCTGTCCCTAGATGTGACCTGATTACGTCTAATAAAATATGGACTACTCTCATCAAGTCAGCAGAATCAAATTCTACCAACAGAAACTCTTACGCTTATAATTATTCAGAATTTAAAACGTTTTATACAACGTTATTCAAACTTCATTTAATGGAAATGTTGTAAGAATAGTGTTTAATTTCTGATGAGGAAAAAAAACTTTTATTTCTCTCCATAGTACTGTCAGTTTCACTTTCCCACTTACAGTTTGTCTAATACAGATTGTATATTTTTCCTTTATATATATATATTTCTTTCTTTTTTTTCTTTTTTTTGCAACAGCCCCTAAATGTGTGCGACAGTACGCCACTTGGCAGAGTGCATTCTTTCCCTTTTCAGTCGGCAGACCTCGCAGGGAGGAATTAATCTCCATCGTCGTTCATTGTTACCCTCATTTGCATAAAGCTGCAGTATGACCAAGTCAAATAATTACACAATCGGAGCTGAGCCGCAGGCCTGCGCCCTCCTTTCAATAGGCCTCTCTGTCCCGGTGCCTTCTCACCTGCTTCCAAACACACCGTTATGTCGGCTGGAGAAGGTTAAGTGAGAGTTTTGCATGAACTCGGTTATAGTAAGAACTAAAAAAGGCTTTATTCTGAGGGTCGACTAAACTTAAGATGAACTTCCATTGCACTGATTCATTTTAAAGTTTAAAATTCCTGGTCACGATCACGTTTATCTGCCAAATTGAAAAAATAACCGCAACTTAATCATCGTTTTACCACAGATCTTATTTTTTTATTTCCAAACTGACTTCATATTTTCTGGAAAACACACGTGCTTTGTTCCGGTAATGGCGCGTTTGGCTCCTGTGCTCCATTACTTGTTGTTCTTTCAGGGCTGCACATCTATTAGTCGTGGTTTGTTGGGACGACAAGCTTTGATGGCATTTTAACGAGTTCCTCTTCCCCCCCCCCCCCCACGAGATAATTTCTGTGGGGCGCGTGGGCTGGTGAGCTGGCCTCGCTTCCAGGGACGCATGCGCGTGTTTGCTCAGTGGCGCGTGCTCCTGTGAGCGGACGGGAAGCACAGGCGCCTCATTAACATACAGCTGCTCCTCTTAAACCTTATCTCTCCGTGGGATTTAATTTTTTTTTTTTCCTTTTCTTCTCGTTAATGTACCGTGCTGTTACTATGGGTTCTGCAGAAACTGAAAAGAAAAAAAAGAATGGAGATTTTTTTTTAAATGTTGCAGTTGCAACGGAAAGTTATATACTCCCCACAGCCAGCATAAATGAGTGAAACCTTTAGGAATGGCCACATAAAACTAAAACCCACGCTGTCATAAGCCTTAACCCGTCAAACCAAACTTGTCAAAGTTCAGTTCTTACTTCATTGCACCACCTACAGGATAAAGAGTTCACCCTGAGGAAACGGGCAACGTTGACCCCCAGCATTCCCACTTTTTCTGCCACCATTGCCACGCGGTTGCTGTTAAACATTAACTGCAGCGGCTGAGAAGGCTCTGCAACAGCGTGGCCGTTTCTGAAAGATTAGATTCCGCTTATTTTCCCCCATAGTTGCACACAGAGGCCTCCTGCATGTCACAGATGAACGATCGCTTCCATGCGCCGTGCCAAATCAAGCAAATTTGACAGTGCAACAGGACATGACTGTAATTGGTGCTCACAACAGGGCCACCTTCAATGCGCTGTCAATCAATTATTGTAATGGATTAGCCGAGGTCCCATTCTGGCCGGTTGTAATCTGATAGAGGGCTCTTTCAGCACCATGGAGAGAGCCAGCGAGGGCTCCAGATTTAATCAGACTGGCTGTGGACACAGCACAGCCCCGGCCTCAGCCTTTGTACCCAAAAAGGAGAGCAGAAAGGAACCAGCAAAGGAACAAAAGAGCCATAGTTTAACGAGGCGATTGGTTTTTAAACATAATTATATTATTTTCACTGTCCTGTGAACAGTGAAAATGTCTTAATTTGCTTTTGTTATGTGTTTGTGTTCAATTAAGATATTAAAACGAGTTAAAACAATCCAAGAGCGTAAACTGCAACTTGTTGAGTTATTGTCTTAATACATTTAGGCTTGCGGTTCAGAAGGTAGGCGGAATAGACTGTTTCCTGCCTTAATGGATGAGAGAGTCATGAATAGTAAACATGTCTAGAATATTCCAGATGGGCATCGGCTGTTCACTTCAAAACCGCAGAAACCAAGCCTCAGCCCTATCTGCCCCAGCTTTATGTCTTGGCTGAAAACAAACCTCTCAGCCTGTTGATATTTCTGGAAAGAGCCGTGCCTCCGTTTTACTGCAGTTTACTGAAAGCCACACTTAAGATCGAACCTCTCTCATTCCACGTGAGGGGGATTTTCTCCTGAAGATTTCGAAGACCATCTGTGGATAATCTAAAACAATTCAGCGCGTCAAACCAGTCTGTAAAAAGCTGTGGTGCGAGAGTGGATTTTTAGTGAAGAGTTCAGAGCGTAGCACCCAGAAGATCAATGGGGAAATTTGCAACGCGAGGGTCATGGTTTAGATTTGAAAGTGTGCTTTGGAAGCTTGCCCATGAGACCAGGTTGTTGTGAAAAGCCCTGCAAAGTGGTATGGCTGAGCTTAAGACTAATGGACCTTATGGACTCGACTGGGATTGTCCCTGATGTCATTCGTGATTTGGACAATGACGATGATGACTCTCTGACAACAAGGACAGATGTTCTGGGGCTTGAACGGCCTTTCTGAAAACATTATGTGGAACTGACTATTAAATTATGCAAGGCCTGATATATGTACAGTGAGGGGGGGAAAAAAGAGAGAAGGGAACTAAAGTTACAGAGAGAAAAAACCACTGTGGCTTTCTGTACGAACACAGGCTTCAAAGGGACAACACCAGATTTCCTTTTCTTGTAAAGGGCCACTTATTAAAAAGAGGTCTTCCTGTGTATCAGACATATCAGTGGCTGGAGTCCCGGGGGCATGTTTAGCCCTAATTTACTCATCAGAAACACCAGAGTGTCTCTCAATAATCTCTGCAGTCCATTGGTTGTTTGGGGTGGAGTCCCCTGTCAGAAAGCATGCCCTGGAATGTTAAACACTAATTCACCTCTGAGCTGTGGAGGTGGATAAAGTGATTGTTCTATCTGGGAGCTGATTAAAACGGGCTCCGGCCCCGGCTTCTCTCCTCTGCGTTCACCTCTGACGTCCATCACATTCATTTCTCTATTCATGAGTGGAGGAGAAAGCAGAGGCAGGGCGGCGGCCGTATTACAGATAATAAGGCCAGCGGGCTCCACATTCACAGCCACAGGTTCCCCCCGGCCCCGGCTCATTCAATTACTTCACAAGAGTTCTCTGAGGCACAGCTGCACTATGGGGGTAAAGAGGAGCAAATTGAGGTACATTCATGGAAACGCACACACATACACTCACACACACACACACACTGCGCAAATACAAAAAAAAGTGGAGGAGGTGCGCACGCCGGAGCAGGAGTAGCCGGCTTATAAAGGATCTCACTGACAGGCATTTGCTTAGTAGCCAATACATTTCTCACAGATGTAAACAACACAGAAAGGTTCATCCTCGGCTGACCGGCTGGTAAGAGAAACTAAATCAAGGCCGTTGCTCGTAGGCTTTCGCGTACGAGGCCGCCATTATCTTGATGAGAGTGTGGACAGCAGCTGGATCACTGCGGAGCATGAAAGATGGACTCTGGCAGACCTAATGGACCACCTCCATTATCTACTGACTGGTACCCGTTCAACCAAAGGAGCATTAGACCCATGCAAAAATATCTGAGACTATTTGGAACTATTTGTCCCTCTAAATGTGATTAAAGAAATGTTTTTGTTATTTTTATTATTCCTAACATTTTTTGCCAAACCCGGAGAGCCCTGGCTGCTGTCCGTGGTGCTGAACTTCAGCCTTTGACTAAGTTGTGCAGCTTGAACTGTAAGAGCCTTTTCTCAGACAAATAGTAAAGTGCTCTGAAAATGTTGATGATCGCTCTTTTATTTGCTTTGCTAAGAATATTGTTTCTAGATTAGAAATAAAGGGAACTCAAACTGCTGTAAGACCTAAAGCTATTGAATCAACTCGCATATATCTTTGTAAATCTGTTCTAAAAGATAAATTTTATGACAGTAAAAAATATTACAGGGCAAAAAACACAACAAGGATTGCGGTGTGTTTGGGTCGATTGCCTTTTTTTAAGTCATGTGAGTGCAATTCAAACATTTTACACAAATGTTCTACTATTACCTCCTGCTGGGTGTACAGAGAGCATCAAATAAATTATATCACAGTATATTTCAGCTATTTCTTTTACCCCAAAATCTTGCTGGATTTTAAAAAATGAACAAAGCAATCTCTAAGGCTCAACTACCTGAGCACATGTGTATAAAGAGAGGAACCTTTTCTTGACATTTGATGTGGGAATGCTACATTTCCCAAACAAAGAATTCCCAGAATTGGCACACTCTTCATTAGATAGTATAATTAGCATTCTCTTATAATTGTGCTGCTTCCTTGATTATTAAATGATCACCCTAATTAGGGAGCATAATAGGGTTAATCAGACTCTGCTCATCACACTTATTATTATTCCTGGAAAAAAAATGAAGGAAAAAGATACAGTACTTGATTAATTATATCAGCCTTTTCATCAGCTGGGCTACCACTCCCCCCTCTGAAATTAATATCATGTTGTAAATGGAAGGAAGGAGCTGGCCGGACACAGACAGATGAAAGATTTCACTCAAATTAATTAAGCACTAATTATGCAGCAGGAGTTGGGAGCAGTTTGCATAATGAGCCCTATCAAAAGAGATCAGTCATGGAGAGGAGCTGTAGAGTTTCTATACAGCCTTCAGATGATACACAGACACTACTGCACTGCATGAAGAGGGCTGGCATGGAAGTGGGAAGAGGGTAAAAGCACTTTGAGGCTCGAGTCGTGAGGTTGAGGAGTGTTTGCTTTGGTTTGCCAACACGCAGCCAATCACAGGCCTCCTCGCTTGTACCCCGACCGTGGATTATTCCGTTCTCGCTTAAAGATATCACAGCTGCCCTGGAGCTATGGGTGTATGTTTTTTTCCCTTTCAGCTTAAGAATCAGATAATGAATTCCCTGGTCCAACAAGAGGCAATAATAACAGAATGTACCTTTAAGTTCAAGCTAATCACAAACAACCTGCCTCCGCACTCCAGGGAGCTTTAAAGACTCTAATCACCTCCCACTCCAATTCTTGTGGTGTTCGGTTATTGTTGATCAGGGACTACACTGTGGCTATCTTTTTAGACAATGGGAAAAGGGATTAAATGGGCAGAAACTCTCTATGTCTTAATCGGCTGTTTAATCACTACCACTGAGAAGTGTATGGCGCTGAGTTACTTGAACTGATTTGTGCCATTGCTGCAGCAATCATGCATTGGCTTATCAGGGTGCACAGCCCAGCACTGCCCTTAAAGGTCCCCGAGTGGAATTACAAAGACTATGATTAGTTAATCAAATGAAGAACCAAATGTCCTTTCTTTATTTGTGTATACACCTTATCTAAATGGAAATTGTATAGCTGAGGCACTTCCAGAAGGACACATCTACATGTGAATGATCCTCCTCGAGCCCTCAGCAGTGAATACAGAATGAGATCTTTCACTCCCAATCATGGTGTTATGGCATTGTGGAGACTTTTGCATGTCTGAATGATATTTGTTGTTAGTGCTCATGTGAATGATGCAATCACTTGGTCTGTTGTGAAGTAAATCAGGATGCACCAGGCAGCGACCCTTCAAATGCAGAAGATGATGTGCAGCACAATGTCAAGATTGTATTATTTTGAGAGCGTAGTGGAAAAAGAAGAGGCAGCCTTTTGATAGTACACCAGTGAATAGATGCAATGTGCAGATGACCTGTATTGTATGGGTCTCGGTTAAAATGAAACTGATGTTTTTGTTTCTGTTTTTATCACCTTTTAAAACGGTTGGCAGATTACAGCACATTACTGATGTTCCTATTCAGTCAGAATTGTGCCTTTTATCTAATGCGGCTTAGGAATATTGATGTGCTTTTGGCTAGTGATTAATATTCAAGTCTTAAAGGCTTCTAAAACACTGGGTTTTTAAAGGGAATGATGTCTAAGAAATGCCTGAAATAATTGGATTCATGCATGTGTGTTATAGTGAACTCATCATGCCAAGACAGATATCTGATTTGGGATCCTCAGTAAAATAAACTGGCGCTACACAGAATTAGCACACATCATCTCGCTCCATATAGCATTCCCTCACCTTTGACCAAAAAAGGAAAGTGGCTCTTTGTACTCTACTCCTCCAATATTGAACCTTTTGTGGAGTTATTTGACAGCGGGATATGGATTGAAATGAATTTTTAATGAGTACCATGGATTGATACAATGAGATTCCTTTGAAAGCCCACCAGTTTTTTCTGATTTCTTTTATGGGTGTACATTGAATTCTCAAAGACAAATTTGAAATATTTTACTTTTGAAGCCAGAATCCACTTCAAATAAGTTATATAAAAAAATTTTTTGGTCTGACATCTTTAGTCATTGTACATTTTATATATTTTAAAAAAGGTTTTTTAAACATAGCTATGAGTTTAAAATATAGTTTTTTCATCAATCTGTCCAATCCATCATCTGAAAATTGGCAATTATTTTGCAATTGTGGCATAATTATATTGACTGCAAAGATCCAGTCTGTGAAGAGATGCTCCTCTAACCATTATAGGAAGAAATTATTTAAAACAGCTTCACTTCCACCAATTACAGCATAAAACCTTCATTTTGCAATAATGTCCTAACATACTTCTCCAGTTTTAATGATGTGATGTTTTGTTTTATTACACCCAGGTTTTTTATATATATATATATATATATATATATATATATACTTTTACATGCCATAAACCAGTTTTACAGTGTAGTATAGAGTCAGATGAATGATGTAAAAGCTTCCTTTCAATACCAGCTAAATCACATTTAGATGGATTGGAAATACACTTTTTTCTTTTCTTCTTTTTTTTTGCTGTAAAGCAAACGTTTCTGTCCCTTCTGTCAGACATGCTGTTAGACATTGTGACTCTAGTTCCTAAAAAGAAAAGAATGTCCCTCCATTGCATTGTGATAACTTCCTAACAGGGGCAGCAGACTTGACCTGCACACTCCTCCTAAGAATCACCTCTATTATTAGTCAGTGACAACAGCCCTTTGGGGGGGCGCTCCCCGTAAGGTACAGGGTCGTGGACGTCCCAATCCATCTCTGTCTGCCAAGGGATTGATTGTGATTTAGCGCGCGGGGCAGGAGATGGTGGGGTTCCATTCTGATGAACGATAGGTGGGAACCCTTTGACTCCCAGCACATGGCAAGCAGAGGCAGAGCTGCGATGATAGGTCAGAGGCAGCTGGTCAAAGGGGGCTGGATGTGGGGGTTGCATTGATCATAAGATAGAAGGTGTCAGGGATCTGGGACAAAGCCTCTCAACCAACCACCCCAGTCTATCGCTTAGCCCATCCATCACCCGTCCTGCTTTGTGGTTAACGTAACGTTTGCTAGCTAATTGTTTCATCATCAGGGGATCCATCATCAGCGGAGATGATGGTGAATACTGAGTAACGGCAAGGTTGCCCCACAAGTGAAAGGCCTGATATGAGGGGGCTGTATGCCAGCTGGGTTAAATAAGGCTCTATTTCCCTTTGTAGATTATTGACTAAAAGATTAACATCAGCGTTCCATATGGTGCTTTAAATAAAAGGCTTACAGCTACGACACACAGGTTAGAGTGAACTTGTATCTCAGGTAAGTGTTAGACATGAATGTGGGATTTTATGGATGCACCAAAGCAAAAATGATATAGTTTTGTATTCTGAATGATATTTTTCCTAATTCTGTCCTATCATAAAATATAACTGCCTTTGCAAGAGACAAAAAATAGAAACTTTACATCCTGTCAGATTTTTAAAGCTTTTAGTTTCCTGCCAAATGGCTTAAAATGATAAAAAGTTCATGTTTGAGAAATGGATTGAACTTTGTGATTTGAACTTAAGGTGTTGGGTCCTTGGAAGGATGTTAAGACGATACCCTTTAATCACTTGACTTTATAATGTACAAATGTGTTAGAAAATTCAGCGTGTTTTAAAGCATTTTTATATAATGAGGGGGTTATCTGCTGTTTACTCTATATCATCCATCCAGCCATCCATTAGCTATACTCGCTTATCCTTTTAGGGGGTCGTGGGGCAGGGGGAGAGCCGGAGCTCCACACGCAAAAGGCTCAGATGACCTTCTTGCTGTGAACCGCACTTTATATC